GCCTGGCCAGCCAGTCTTCTTGTGCACAGGTTGTTGTGGTGAAGGGTGAGACTGCTGTGTGTCATCTGAAACAATGGCCCCCAACCTTTCAGGGACCACTTTTGTGGAATTTTTCCCTGGAGCCGGGTGGGGACGGGGGTGGTGGTTTCAGAACGATTCAAGTGCGTTACACTTATTGTGCGCTTTATTTCTGTTATTATTACCCTGTGATATATAGTGAAATCATCATACAACTTGCAGAATCACTGGGGGCCCTGAGTGTGTTTTCCTGCAACTAGACCGTCCCATCTGGGGGTGATGGGAGACAGTGACACCCGCAGTCTGTGGCTCATGTCCAATCTGCTCCTTAATCTCGTGTTGGTTGCTGTCACCCCAGAAAACCCTGCTTCACAAAAGGAGGATGTCAGAAATGGAAGCCGGCTTTTCAGGGTTTGAGAGGAGGTGGATGGAGTTCAGGCGGTCATGGACCAGGACAGCTGATTAGTAGAAAGGAGAGCTTTATTGGCAATATCAGTTTGCAAACTGGAAAGAGACAGCCTCTGGCGTGGACCGAAGGTGCTCTCTCTTTGAAGAGGGAAACAGCAGATTGGGTTTGATGCCTCATGGGGTTCATATTACACAATAGAGTCATTGGCATTCAGCATGTTTGGTGGAAAATTACACAGATTTATGAGAGTCAAATGCATGGACAATCCATAAGCAGGTATGTAGCATACATCCCGTGCTCACTTTGTGGAGGGGTTTTAGCATTAAAAGGAGGTGGAATTTGGATCTTTGCATCAAAAGGTTGACCAGAGGACACAAAGACAGTCTATGTGCAGCCTCAATAACCTGGCTGAGACTGGCTTGTTGAGGTCTGCAGTTGCCGCAGGAGTTTAGGAAGTTGCCGTGTGAGTTGAGCCTTGGACCCTCAACCTGTAGGTGACTTGTTTCCTGAACCTTAAGGTTCACCTTAGTTGACAAAGGGGCACCTATTTTGATCTCTCAGATCACACATGGATGAAGAGTAAAGATGAGAGTAGTTGAAATTTACAGTCCACCCAGTTCAGGTTCCCGCAAGCTTAGCCCAGAGACATGTATTCCAGCACATGTTTCTGCAAACAGAAACTCTCCTTGCTATTTACACCCAGGGAAATCCCCCTCCTGCCTCCGCTCTGAACACCAAAAGGCAGCCCACAGAAGCGTTTTATGTTGATTCTGCCCTCATGTGCTCACTACACATCTTCTTGGCTCTAGATAAATAGATAGATAGATAGCTAATTAGATAGATGAATTGATGATAGATAATTAATAGAAGATAGATAAATAGGTAGATGATAGACAATTAATTAGCAGAGAGATAAGCAGATAAATAGGTAATTATTTTGATAGATAATCAATGCTAATAGATAATAAGACAGATATTAGATAGAAGATAGATAATTAGATAGGTTAGATTGATAATAGATAAGTAGATTATTAGATAGATAACTAGATTAGAGAGATAATTCTTATAGATAATTAGGTAGATTAGATAGATGGACAGACACACATACACACATATATACACATACCTACTTACATATACACACACATATATCTGTGTGCACGTTCAAACGGATTGTGTTACTTTACACACCCAACAGCATTGTGTGAAAGGGTATGAATCATGCTGTTCTTGCCAGCATTAGAAAAGAGCATATCAAAAATATTTGCTAATTGCACGGGTAAAAACATATTACCGTTTCATCTTATACTTTTTTAAATTTTCAAACTCAGTTTATTATTATGGTTTAAATTAAGAGTTAAATATTAATTGATCCTCAAGGAAAATTTATCATTAGTTTCTAATGTTATGTGTTTCTCAGCTATATTCACCTAAATGCAACTCTTCGAAAGAGCTTAAATCCCACAGAGTAAAAGTGTGGGTTTTGTTTGCTTGTTTGTTTTAAGACTCTGACTCATCTCCCTTTAGTAACTTGAGGTTATTCTTGGTTACTTTAAGCTTTTAATTTAACGCCTTATCATAGGCATTCACAGTTTTCTAATATATATTCTTGGTGTCTTATCTCTAATCTCTGGATCTCTAGCCTGTGCCTTGAGATGCCAAGCACATATTTTTTTTCACTCTGTTTTTAAAATTATCATACAATAAAATTGCCTTTTGTTTTTGGTGTGCAGTTCTGTGAATTTAAGCCTAAACTTGTGTGACCACGAGAATAATCAATCCACGGAACAGTGCTGTCTCTCCCCAAAGCTTACTCATGCTACCCCTCTCTGCCCCAGTTCCTGGTAGCCCGTGATTTTTTTCTTCACATAATTTTGTCTTTTCAACAATGTCATATGACATAATTTTATAGTATCATATTTCATTTGGAATGTCTTCAATTCCTCCCATAGCTGAACATTTTTCTACAACTTGTTTCAACTGCGTTTTTTTGTGTCTTGTATAGTTTGTGTCTTTATCTCCTTGGGTCATGAATAGTCTTTTTCTTACAGATTTGCCTGCGTTTATTATGGAAGAATGGCATTAACTTATTCCTGATACCCTGACTGACCACAGATATTTTCCTGGTTAAGTCTTTACTTTTAAGTTTGATTTCTTTAAATGCATAAGACGTTACCAGTAGCAATATCACTTGATCTAATGACCTTGTAGTACTCTGACGATCTAGTGTGATGCAGTATTCTTAAATACAAAAAGATGTCATCACAGCATTATTTCTAGTATAAAAAAATTGGAAACAGTCTAAGTGTTTAGCTACAGACTTTAGTAGAGCAGATTATGGCGTTGCCCGCAAGAGACTACCTTGCCAGAATGAAAAGAATGCTTACAAAGATGTCACAATAGGTTGGAAACGCCTTATGCTAAAATGATAAATTAAAAAGCCAAATATAATTCTATGCCCCAATACGATCACAGCATGTAAAGAGAAACACAAAACCTACTAATTTAAACAGACTAGAGAAAATAAATCAAAATAGTAACTGATTTTCTTTTATTAGTAAAGCTATGAAAAGACTTTTTACCAATCTTGTATGTTTTCTTAAAATTCTGCAGTTCTGTAGGTCAGCCTAAAATGCTACCTTCTGCCTTAAAAATTCATCCCTGAGACTGAACGATGTGTGAAATGCCTATTCTGCCTTCTAGATGTCAAATGTCTGTCAGTTCATGTCACTGTGACCCGATCTTTAGAAAGAGGGGCACTGATTTGGTTGTCAAACAGATAGCTGCACTGGATAAATCATCAAAATGCTTCTGAGTACAGTACAGTGCAAGTGAATCTGATAAGTGGCACTTGAACCTGAACTGCTTATTAAACAAGACATCATTGTTGCCAAGCATGACCTTCGCGAAGAGAGGGTTTAGCTGCAACTCTCCTCCTTACTGTGAAGGAAACCCTGGTAACCCTGAGGTTTCCATCTCTTCCTGAGATAGAATTTCCCAGATGCGTGCTAAGATGCTGTTGCCTGATCAAAATCGCAACCCAGAAACATCACAGCAACATCTGGAAAGGTCAGCATGGTTTAACTCAGGTTTTATGAGTCGACCATGCCTCCAGACTCAAATCAGAATAAATTACTTACCATTACTTGTATTAAGGAAACCTTCAAAACGTACAGGCGTGGCAAATACTGCCCTAAATGAGGATGGCTCTCAGTGATTTTTCCTGATTAGTGGAGAAACAGTTTTGCCTGAAAGACCCAGGTGGTGCAGGAAAGAAGGGGCTCTCAAAGAAGTTATCTCCGGAGAAATTTCAGGTGTCAACCAGCTCTTGCCCAAGATGTCTAAACTCACAGAGCAAAGAGGGCCTCCTAAAGACACATCTGGAAGCCATCTAGCTGCTAATTCAACAGCGTGATACAGACAGGGTGTGTTTCAGAGACTAAGAATACCCGACAAATCATGATATTTACACAATCACCTCCTTCAGATAAACCTCCTAAATTCTACAGGAAATTAGGAATTTTTATTAATAACTATAAAATTAACAGCACCTGCCAAACTGAATTTGTCTCTCTCCAAACCTCCAAAATACTCAAAGAATGTGGACATTGCAGAACACTGGAGATCTCTTACGCCATTGCTAGATTGGATATTACAGAAATTGGGTATATCCGGAATTTCCAGTTAGGTTACTAATGCTGTCTTTTGGGTTCCTATTATTCCAAAAAGTTTTCTTCCTTTATACAAAGGCAGAAAAGACAACCAATTTGTTTATCTTATCTTATCTTTGGCTTATGAAAGCTTGGGAAAACGTTTGAGGATCAAATGGTCAAGAAGAGAGAGAGAGCAAGGAAGTAACTTTTTCACAGAATATCAGATGATTGTTTCAGATGAATGGAACCTCATGGGTGAGAAGTGGTGGTGTTTCGTCTAGGTAGGTGGCTAGCCCACAAAGATGGAAATAGATCACAAGAGAGTCCCAGAATTTGTAGCCGACATTATGGTGACTTTCTCCTAAGTCTCTTGGAAAATATAATTATTAGTTGTTTGGCATTTCTGAAGTATCTTGTTCATCTTTAGTCTATAAAGCCCTGTTTTACAGTGGTCAGTGAGTTTGGAGTTTTCTAAGTGGTATATAATGTTCAAAGGCTTGTTGTGAGCGAGTGTGTGTGTGTGTGTGTGTGTGTGTGTGTGTGTGTGTGTGTGACTATGAAGACAGCAGACTTTTTTGAAGTAAATAAAGATCAGCTGCCGAATGCCTCAAGCCAATTCCATTACACACATAAATAGACCGTGTAAGAATTTTGCGGTGTCATATTTAACTAGTATGACTAAAATAGACTCGCTCCTTAGAAACTCATTTTCTGATGACTGTGTGTTGTTTCCTGAGTTCCCACTTGAATAACAGAAGAAATAAAATGTTGGAAAACCTTCGCCTCACTCTGCAATCATTAAACGTGACTCCGTCAGAGGGGGTGGAATTAACTGTTTAGTTAGTTGTCACTGTCAAGGTTGAGCGCAGCCTTCCAGACAACCTCCTCGTCCCCCGGCAAGGCGGTCTGTGGTTTTGGGTGAGTCGAGCAATGCACTTTGCAGCAGGGGAAGTGAACGCGTTTGCTCAGATGGATAGTGGGCCCATTTGGGGCTCTGGCTGTCGGTGATAAAACACTGGTTAAGGGGAGATGGAACACCAAAAATAATGTATGGTATACACCCCAGACAGCGTTTGTGTTTTTTTGTCGTTTTCCAGGGAGCAGCCATGTCACCATTTCTTAGAATCGGTTTGTCCAACTTTGACTGCGGGTCCTGCCAGTCCTGTCAGAGCGAGGCCGTGAATCCCTACTGTGCTGTGCTTGTCAAAGAGTATGTGGAATCAGGTAAGCATGAGCGGGTTTTCAGGGCAGGAGAGGAGGAGGATCTTGCTAGGAGCTACGTATGAAGCAAGGTCTTCCAGGACATTCAAGGTCATCTGGCTCACCCGAATCCTGTAGTTTGGGAGACATTGCCTGGTGCAACCAAGTACTTCTCCAAGGACGCACGCTTAGGGATCGACTCTGACCCAGGACCTCAGGGTTCACTGGTTGCTCTGTTTCACTGGACCTTTTTTTCCATGTAGACCAAGGGCAGAAGAAAGTTGGGTTGAGGGAATCATGTGATGAGTTAACAGGAAAGAAATCGAGCGAGCTGAAGTTGAACATAGGACCTGTCTTGTGAAGCCTGGTTGCCTGAAATAATTCTTGCCGGAGTAAGACCGCATCATGTCAGCATCAGCTTGAAAGACTGCCTGCTATTTCTTGGAGAAGCACGAGCATCACAAAGCATCTATAATTAGCCATTAGAAAGCAGATTTCAAAAGTATTTCTCTCTGCTCTTACTAAGACCCTAGGTCAATGATAGAATAGTGTTGTATTCTCCAATTTAAATATTTATGGGACATTTCATGGGGAGGGGGAGAAGGGGAACAGCTACCCAAGGTTCCTTATGAGTGAGAACATGTGGTACTCGGTTCTTTGTTTCTGTGATGGTTCACTGAGTATTATAGACTCTAAATCCATCCATGGAGTTGTGAAGTCCAAATTTTGTCCTTCTTCATGGCTGTGTAATATTCCATCGTGTAGCTGTACTACATTTTTTAATCCAGTCCTCTTTCTTTCTTCCTTTCTTTCTTTCTTTGTGAGAAAACGGGATTTATTGAGAGGACAGAAAAGCTCCCACAGTGGGAGGGGACCCAAAGGGGGTGCCCCAGTCCACTTTCAGTGGGGGGCACAGTTGGTTTCACGTTGTTGGGATTGTGAATAGAGCTGCAATAAGCATGTGTGTGCAGGTATCTTTTTCATAGAAGGATATGAGTTCCTCCAGGTATATTCCCAGTAGGTGGATAGCTGGGTCTTATGGGAGATCAATTTCTAATTCTTTTAGGGAATCAAAACAAAATAAAACAGTGCTCTGCTTTCAGAATCCCTCTGTGGTCACATCGACTGACTTCCACTCTTCCAGATCCCTAACCTTGGCACTTGAAGTTTTGTGTAGACTTTCCAAAGGAAACATAGGAGGAAGTTGATGTCCCAGGACTTCCCTGTCTCGCTGCCTTTCCTGTGTGCCTACGTACGTCTCTTATTTTAGCAGACATGTTGTAGAGAAGCATGATGTCTTCGGGTATAGGTCTGCAGTAACTATGGAAGCCCCCACAGTTCACTTCCTCAAAAGTGTTTACGGAGAGCCTACGGTAAGGATGGGGCCAGAGCAGAGAGGGAAAGAAAACCAGACAAGTCAAAAGAACCCAGAAAGAGCGCCTTTCCCTGAACGCATCTATTGTCGCAGGAGAAGACAGGTAATAAACAAAAATAGAGGCCCAAGCACGGCAGCTCATGTCTGTAATCCCAGCACTAGGGAGGCTGAGGTGGGAGAATTGCTTGATCCCAGGAATTTGAGAGCAGCCCGGGCAACATAGCAAGATCCATCCCTACAGATATTTAAAAATTAGCCAGGCATGGAGGCACACACCTGTAGTCCCAGCTACTAGGGAGGCTGAGGCAGAAGGATCACCTGAGCCCACGAGGTCGAGGCTGCGGTGAATTGCCATCCTGCCACTGCACTCCAGCTTGGGAGATAGAGTGAGACCCCGACTCGAAAGAACATGAAAATAGAATGTGGTAATGAATGATCGATGCTGTGAAGGAACACAAAGCAAAGGGGAGAGAGAAGGAGTAGGGGATGGAGATGTGTGTTATCTTATACAGGGTGGTCCTAAAAAGGCCTGTAGTGGGGGGCAGGGACACATTTGCAGATGTAAGGTGAAACTCAGACACTGAGAGCCTCCAGCTAGCTGCTGATGGCTCAGATTCCGGGGTTCCAAGGCCTCCAATTGGGGCTTCTCCCCCTCCGCCCCACAGAAGCCTTTTTGCTTCTTGGCTGACACCCTCCTTCTCTGAGCACATCAAAGCAAGAGACTGTCTGCATCAACCCGATTTCCCTCCTTCCCGGAGTTCTCTCCCGTTTGGTTAAAAGTGGAAATGCCCTGCTGGCTCCCCACCTAAAGCCTTTCAAATGTCACAGGCGTCTTTGAAGTGTAAAATGTCTGCGTTTTTCAAAGCCACATTCGACTTAAGGGGTCTCCTGGATCCAGTTCTCTTTACAATCTCAGGTCTCACTGACATTTGCCTGCTGAGAGCCTTTCCCACCCCTTCTTTTTCTTTTTGGCCTTGCCTTTGAACTTGGTCTAATCAGCTGTGTGGATCCAGAGACCTTTCTCAGAAAAGAAGAAAACTGTTTTTTCCCAAAGATTAACCTGTAGAGCTGGCGGGAGTTTGGAGATTTTTGTTTGGGTTTTGACCTGAGGATAAATCCCTCTTGATATTATCATTCAAGCGTTACTTCTATAGAATTTAAACACGTTTCGATCTTTGGGGTGTGAGGCTGCATTTTCCATGAGTCGACAGAACAGGGCACAGTGCGTGGGTCCGTCAGCCTGTGAACATGGTGACACTCACCATAGAAACAACAGGTCCTGAGTTCTGGTTGTCATTTTAGGTGATTACAAGCCCAATGCCTTGCTGCGGGGATTTTTGTCCTTTTTATTTTTTTGAGGATTTTTGGCCTTTTTCTCCAGGCGTGGAGGATGGTTACAGGTGCAAGGAATTATTCAGAGGAAGCTTCAAGTCTGTGGTAGTAAAATGGTGCTGTAATCATTAACAGCACTCCTGGCTTTTAAAAAGTCCAATCTCCAGTCAAAATATTTTTGCAACCAATCCATAAAAATCTTCCCCTTCCTGTTCCACCTTGAATGGTGTCATGGTTTACATCTTTACTAACTAAGTTTACTTAACATTTGAAGTTTCAACTCTTTGCATACCCCCTAAATAAATATTAATTTAACAAATGCCAAATGGCTGTTCTGCTTGGCCTTGTGTGCTGGAGAGAAGGGCCCTCAGAAGTTAGAAAGGTTTTATTACCCGGCTTTAAGCGGATTTTTTTCTTTTGCTTAATCGACGTCTCTGAATTGCTAAATCTGCAACTTAATGTGCTTAAATCACAAAGGAACAAACGCTCAAATACAGCTGCAGTTTTCTGCTTATGAAATGATTAAGGATTAAACACCAGAGAAAATCCAATGTGGATGAAAGACAGGACAAAACTACTTAATCAATTCCATTAGTAAACGCTTTCCCAATCATCTGGCAGCTTCTGGGGTGGTTTTCCTTAAGTTGACCATCCTGTGTGCGGTTCTTGTTGCAAGCAGCTTCCGGTATTCCCACCTGCTTAGCTTTTCTCACTCACAGGGTTGTGGTCTCCTTCATGGCTCCATGGATAAGACACCCCACTTCTCTGAGTTACTTGTCAGCTTTTGCTTAGGATGCATGGTGTATGTAAAACGTATCCCTCTTTATTCAAGAATTAGAGGAGGAAGAAAGGGCTCTTGTTTTAAAGGTTATTTCTTCTTAGTGCATTTATGTCAAATGGAAGTTTTAAAATACTTTTTAAAGGGGCACTCATCATAAGCTTATGACATTGTGTCTTTCAGATAAACACATAGTCGTTTGTATTGACTATTTTTCACCTGATGCCAGTGAAATTAATCAGTCATATGATCGATCCTTTGTAGATTAACAAAGGAAAAATCTCAAAAGGCATAAACTTTTTTTTTTTTTTAAATCTCCAGCCTGTGCAATATAGCAAGATCTCGTCTCTACAAAAAATAAAATAAAATAAAAAAATTAGCCAGGCATGGTGGTGTGTACTTGTAGTTCCAGCTATTCAGGAGGTGGGGGCAGAAAGATCGGCGGAGGGGTGGTTATGCCACTGCACTCCAGCCTGGGCGACAGCGTGAGATCCTGACTCAAAAAAAAAAAGTTTATTTGCTCAGCTGTTCACACCCAAAGTAAAGCAACCAACTTCTGAAGAGGAAGAGAACATTTCTAGTCCAAGACGTTATGAGATTGTTGTTGTCCAGATTGTCTACATTGAACTTGCTCTAGGCCTTGGCGCCATCTCAGTCTGTCCTAAATTGTCTCTGATTGTTTATGGGTTACTTCTGTCTTTCCAGCAGAATCCTGTATCCCAGAGAGCAGAGGGAACAGGTGCTGCCGTTGAGTTGAATTATTTTCCAGAGCTGGTGCAGGAAGTTACGAGAACCTCTCTTTCTATTCCTAGAGAATGGGCAGATGTACATCCAGAAAAAGCCCACCATGTACCCACCCTGGGACAGCACTTTTGACGCCCACATCAACAAGGGAAGAGTGATGCAGATCATTGTGAAGGGCAAAAATGTGGACCTAATATCGGAAACTACCGTGGAGCTCTACTCGCTGGCCGAGAGATGCAGAAAGAACAATGGGAGGACAGAAATATGGGTAGGTATCTGAAGCATGAGCTTTGTGTAAAGTGCACGCACTTTGCAGTCCACAGGCTGGGCTCAGTGGCTCAGCCTGTCATCCCAGCACTTTGGGAGGCCCAGGTGAGTGGATTGCCTGAGTCCGCGGATTCGAGACCAGCCCAGGCAACTTGGCAAGACCTCATCTCTACAATAAAACGAAAAATTAGCCAAGCATGGTAGCATGCGTCTGCAGTGCTGGCTGCTTGGAAGGCTGAGGTGGAAGGATCACTGGAGCCCAGCAGGTCGATGCTGGGGTGGCCATGAGCGTGTCACTGCACTCCAGCCTGGGCAACGGAGTAAGACTCCGACTCAAAGGAAAAAAAAAAAAGATGTGATCACACTGGCCTTGGGTCTACAGACTCCCCACCGCCTCCTCGCTGGTGGTTGATAATGGCAATGATTATTCATTATGGACTACAGAACATATTGACATATTCAAATCTTTTACTTCCCGCAGAAGGTGGAAAAGATCTCTTAGACTGAAAAACTGTTATTGATTCATAATTGTCAAAGTAAGCTCAGAAATATCACAAATTCCTCTTCATTTGGGAGGAATTATCTATTCATCAACCCAATTGTTAATTTCATTGACTTTCTCAAGTTTGGGGAGCAATATTTGTATGTAAAACAATTAACATTATGAAATGACAACTCTGATACTTGTTAACTTAGAGACCACTTGTTTAAGCTAATAGGAACATATTGAGATATCAGAACTGTATTAATTTCATTAAGCTTTATCAATATATTTTTAAAATACAAAAGGAAATATTAAATTGTGAGAGGGTAGAACAAAAAACCATTTAATGTTTGAACTTCTCTCTCCATATTTTGCCAATTCCTGTAAGTTCATTTGTTTTGTTTTTTTAGCCATAAGGAATTCATTGAGCTTACTTTGTGCTAAGAAAGCTCATACACAACTCATGTCAGCACACTACGTTTTTGAAGCCCTTGGTTATACCTGTTTGAGTGGCAAATGTTCAGAAATATTAAAGAGAAAAGTATAATATGAAATCACAAAAATATCTAATGAAAATAAAAGAAAATATATCAGTAGAAACTGCTTTTTCATGATCTGAAACCCAGAAAATATTTTCAAACGTGTATATCATTTATGCCAAAGGAGAGAATGCTGCCTTTCCGCTTCTTACTTTTGATAACTCAAGTGTTAAGAAATTCACCCCCGAAATTTTCAGCTCACAAATGGGAATGATATAAGCCTAAAGACGAAGCATTTTGCATCAGTTTTGTATTTTGCTCTTATCACTGAAGTAATCTTTAAAGGCAATTATAGGCCAGGATGTTTAAGGTCTCCAGATTTAGCTTTGTCTAGGTAATGTACCAGCTGTTATCTATTGAGCACTTGTGTATTCAGCATGGAGATAGATCCTGGCAACACCTCCTCTGGGGTAGCTTCTTAGGCAAGCGGGAAAGGGTTGAATAACTGGAGACTGTCACGGATGTTTAACTTAGGGTTGACGAGTTTACACAAGCCAGGTGAGAGGGCAAGGCTCTGGCAGGCCTGAGGTGTGGAAGGGGAGGAGAAAGAAGAGACACATCACAGAGTCTCCCCAGTTTTCCCCATTCCCGCTTATTTTCTGCTTCTGCTTAGTTTTTAAAAAAGAGTCATCAGCACCCTAATTTTTAAAATACCATTCCATTCCTGTTTTCTTCTCAAGTAATGAAAGGTTGACTAGTTATTTGGGTTTTTTTTTCTTTAAGCATTTCTGTAATTAGGCTTCCCTGATATACAAGTTGCTTTTTGCAGCTCAAGTTGCATTTGATTTCTGGCCTAGGATTTTGCGGATTTTATTCTTACCAGACTTTCACTTTCATTGCATTCTAGAATTATTTAGACATCAGCCTACGGTGGCATTCAGATCCTCTTTTAACCAACTAACAAATTTTACATTTTTTTTAATATGCTAGATTTTAAGCTTTTTGGTTTTTTAAGGGCACTTCTTAATTTACTTTTATTTTATTTTAAGAGCCAATAGGTTGTTTTGCATGTATATTTTCTTTTGATTTTCCTTAAAATCTGCTTCCTTAAAATTAATTTTCTCTATTTTAAAAAGATGATTTTGGCCGGGCACGCTGGCTCAAGCCTGGAATCCCAGCACTTTGGGAGTCCGAGGCGAGAGGATTGCCTGAGTCCAGGGTTTCGAGACAAGCCCGGGCAACTTAGTGAGACCTTGTCTCTACAATATATCAAAAAATTAGCCAGGTGTAGTAGCACACACCTGCAGTTCTAGCTACTTGGAAGGCTGAGGCGGAAGGATCGCCTGAACCCAGCAGGTCGAGGCTAGGGTTGCTGTGAGCGATCCACTGCTCTCCAGCCTAGGTGAAAGAGTGAGACTCCGACTCAAACAATAAATAAATTAATTAATTAAATAAAGAGTTGATTTTCTCCAATTTGCCTTTCACCCCATAGACACGGTCCTGTTTCTAAATGCCATATTGAGACTTGCCTTCTGCCTTCCTGAGGCTGGGGACTGTCTCCCATCACTGTCCAAAGCATGCTAGAACATCACTTTCTGTGGGTATTGGCTTTCCAGCAGCTGACTGATTTAAATTCTTCCATGACCACTCGTTCCTGAATGTTGACAACTCTGTGGACGCTGGCTGCCCAGTTTCACCCATCATTTGGAAATGGGCCCTCAGCCCTTGCTTTTCCATTTCCACATTTGCCTCTACCTTACTGCTTACCCCATAAACAGTGGTGTATACACTTGGTGTCAAAGCACTTCTCTTTTCGCTAATCTGTTGAAGCTTGTATGAGAATGTATAGTTGGCCCAGCAGGACAAGCTTATGTCATCGCAAGATTCTCATGGCTGTGATTCTATGGCATGCACAGTGCTAGTCTGTGAGTGTTTCAGAGATTTCCCAAAGCTTAGTGACTTACACAAGGTCACATAGCCAGAAAGTTATTAAGCCAAGACTCACCCTCGATCCTGGGCTCCACAGGGCATTGCTTCCTCTTTCTCAGTTATTCTGGCTAGCCCATGGACGTGATGACTCGTAATGACCTTCGATGCGTCCTCTTTCTTCCTCTTTTTTAGTCTATCAGTGGGAGAGTGGAGTGGTTTAACGCATTAGTGACAGTGCTCAGGTTGTCTTTGATTTTGAGTTTGTCCTTTTTTCTCCTTACATCATTTTATAGGAGAACTTGCATCATCGCTTAAAGTGGCACTTGGTTCTGGTGCCTTCTATACAACAATACGGTTCTGAAATATATATTTATTTTTGTATTTCTTAATCCCTTCCCAGACCAATCTCATGCAAATGTTATTTCATGGACCATCCAGCTTTTTCCCCAAAGTAATCTATCCTTGGGAAAGATAAAGGCCACTCCTACAGAATGCCCTGATTAACCTAGACATGCATTTCACATGGAAGGGGCGAAAGGGGTCCCGAGGCACCCTCAAAGCAGGAAGGGTCCTTCCCTTCAGAAGACCTACTTTTTCCCCAAAGAAATTAGGCTCAGTGCCCATGATTCTTGTTATAATTCAGATCTGGGTCTGCCCTATGACGAGATTTCAGATAAGCAACGTCATGGGACAAGAAACCCCAATAGAATCTGTTTTAGAATTTTGCTTCTCCCTCATGTAAGTTTCAATTTCCAAGTAAAATTAATGGCTTGCTGGGCTGTTTTAATAAAAGGAAGGCTATCATCGCAAGGGCTGTTGAAGGCTCCATTCTGATGATAATGAGAAAGAGTACAGTGGAAAATAACAATGATCGTATTCTATATTGGAAACCTACCGTCTCCAGTTATGTCATTGAACCCGGGGCTTGTTTCACATTCTGACTGACGTTTCTCTCCTTCTCCCAACCAGTTAGAGCTGAAACCTCAAGGCCGAATGCTAATGAATGCAAGATACTTTCTGGAAATGAGTGGCAAGTGATATTTCTTCTTCTTGTTTGGGGGTGAGGAGGGCCTGGCCTTCGCCTCAAATGCAACTTATTTTACTTTTGCAATGGTCACAGAAAAGACTTAGGAAAGGAAGGAATTTTCTTAAAATTCCCAGTGGTACTCAGGCATGAATTGAAAACGCACAGTATCTGGGCCAGATAAACATAGAAATGTAAAACATTTACAGCCTTGCTTTTTAAGTGGTGTGAACTCAAATGCCCAGTGCTTTTATTGTCCGTCTTTATTTTGGTTTGGGAGTTTAATGTATGAAAGACTTACTGTTTCACTATGTATGTAGACATTGTCTATGTATACGCTTGGTATGCTGTATCAAGCTATCCCACTATCAGTAGAATACAAAATAAGCAAGAAATGATCAGTGCTTTCCGTAAAATTAGTGGCAAAATGCTAATGCTTAAAGTTAGTCACCTCAAATCCTGTTAGGAACAAGGGAGGGTGGAAAAAAATGCATTGCTAAAGAGTTGGGTTCCTCGTCACGTGTGGGTTTGGGCCACAGAAGTTAAATCTCCCAGCAGTGTATTTGGTGTCCACCATAGCCTGTCAATGCTGTGTCCTAAACCTCAGAATGGGCGTGTCAACTTACTGATGGTAAACTGATCTCAGTTTTTTTTCCTAAGTTAGTTTTACTACCAAGAAGAAGTAAGTTTTAGTCCAGAGATTTATGATGCCTTCTAAGTTTTTGCTTAACACATACAACTCTTCTGGGTCTAGATTCAAACACATGCATTGGAGAAATCAACATTATAAGATAATCAGGAAAAACTTGAATGCTCACCAGGTATTTGATGATATTGAGGCATGGTTATTTGTTTTTTTAGGTATGATAATATTATCGTGGTTATGTTTTTTTGAGGAGCCCTACTCTTTGACAGATGTATGCTGAAGTATTTATAGATGAAATAATGTGATATCACGGATTTGCTTCAAAGTAATTCATTGGCATGGAGTGGGGAGAGGGGATGGGGTATATTGGAAGAGAGGAGCCATGAGTTGATCATTGTTGAAGCTAGGTGATTGGTACTTGGAAACTAATCACAGTATTTGCTCAACTTTGTGTATATTTGAAATTTTCCATAATAAAGTTTTTTAAAGAAAGAAAAAATTCCTGAAAAGGGAAAAATGTGCTCTGAACTTTTCTGGTTTTTTTCTATTGTCGGTTATAGATGCATAGTACATGTAATCATATAATTTTTTTTTTTTTTTGAGTTGGAGTCTCACTCGGTTGCCCAGACTGGAGTGCAGTGGCCGCTTTCAGGCTCGCCTGCTGGGCTTCGGTGACCCTTCCGCCTCAGCCTTCCGAGTAGCCGGAATTACAGGCATGCGCTACCATGCCCAGCTGATTTTTTGATTTATTGTAGAGATGAGCTCTCACTGCCCAGGCGAGTCTCGAACCCGCGGGCTCAGGCAATCCACTCACCTCAGCCTCCCAAAGGCGCGGGATTATAGGCTGAGCCACCGCGCCCGACTAATCATATAATTTCTAAGTTGACTAAATGAGATAGAGTGATTGCCGGGCATCTGAATAACTAGATTTGCATAAAAAGTAAAAGCATTGGCCCAAATAATAATACCAACAATGTTTTAATTCCTTGACCAAGAGAAAGCATACTCTTCCCATTAGTGTAAAGCATGGCCCAGTGTAAATTGAAGAGCCCTCCATCAGAATAAAAGTCTTTTGGGAAAATGAATTTTAAGATCCCTGCTTTGAAAAACAATTCCATGGGTATCACTCCTATTACTATGAAACCTAAATTTTCTATTAGAATGCGAGAGCAAATTCAAATGGAGCAAAAACAGTGATATTTCACAAATAATTAATTACACAAACCTAGGACATTTTTTAAGGCTAAAACTTTGTAATATTAAAAATCTTTTATATCTAGACCCAGAATGAGAGCCCATCTCTACATTTTCATGTATCCAAAAAAATCTCATTTTTAACATCCAATATTATGGAATAATCTTACTAGAATTCCTTGCTGACATTGCCATCAGAAGATGGAAGAAAGGTACAGGATGCCATTCAGTTTTAAGAGTGTTTATTATTCTTCATAAGCCAGAAGACTAAGAAATAGTCTTCTGAAGAATTCAGAAAAGCAAAACATGAGTTCTTCTCCTCAGGGAATGTAAACCCAGATTGGAGAGGTGATACAGCTTAAACAATTAGAGAAAAATTATATCCTAAAACACGTCCTGATTAGCCAAGAGATCAGTATGGGTTGCCTTCATTCCAGAGAACTCCACAATGGAAGTAGGAAGGATAGGCAGAGTTGAGATCTGCAAAGAAGAGAGATAGCCTACTAAGAGGAAAAATGCAGGCAGAGCAAGAACATGGCATGGGTAGGGGTTGCAGGAAGAAGAGCCTAGGCAGACTGGCAGACCCCTGCTGAAACCAGAAGGAAGAACCAGAGATGGATGTCGATGGGCTTAGAAGCCAGGCAAGAGAAGTGTGTAGACCTGGGTCATGCTTTACACCAATGGAAAGAGTATACTTTCTCTGATTCAAGGAATTACACATTATTGGCCTATAACATTTCACTTATGTGATGGAAAGATGAAGAGAATCTGGCTTAGGGGTATAAAATGAAATGAAATAAAATAGGGTAGCAGCTAGATTTCACTGCAGTCTAAATGGAAGGGAATACCTATTATATGTACATAGTCGAGGTGCTTTACACGTCTTTAAAAATGAAAGTCAAATGAAGAGGGAAACTGTTGAGGCGCTCTCTCAAAATAGCTAGATTGGGGAAGTGATAGAAGTGGCAGGAATGGGGGGTGTGGGAAGAAAAGACAAATGCATGGGGGAAAAGGAATTCAAACCTGGATAGCATTCAAGATCATAGTAAGGTTCCTGCATCACTTTTCCATGAAAGCCTCAGCTCTTCTCTACTACACATGGGAGCAAATGGCTCAGCTCTTTGAAAACCTTCATTTGTTGATTTCTGGGCTAGAATCACTTTTTCTGTTTTTCCTCTGTTTTCCTACCACCACTCTTGCGGTCTAGGAATTCACCATGGCCATCAGATTACCCCTCTTCTATTTTACACCCTCTACGCATTATCTCTCTCTGTCCGGTAGCCAACCTTCTTCACCTACCTGCAGGGACTCAGAACTTCCCCTCTCAGAGGTCATCCTCCTCTCCTGCCAATTCTGCCCCACCTCCCAGCTAGTGAGTACTGGACCTTCATCTATGAGGTCCGACAGTTTGGTTCACAAACTCATCCTAGAAAAAGTGCTATACATCTCATTGCTGAATATCACCTTTGTCACCTTCGAAGTACTCCCCTTGGGAAGCTATACACTGACATCAGCACCTAGTCCACCCCTCAAAGCAGTTTTGAAACTCTCTTTCTGGAATGGCCATCAGAGCTGTTGTCATATTACCCTTGATGCCCTGAATGCCATCAAAATGTCTTCCTTTCAGTATTTCCTTTCTCTTTGGGTTAAGAAAAGCAGTCACTGGGGACCAGATCGGGTGAGTAGAGCAGGTGCTCCAAAACAATTATTTGTCCAGTGCTGCCAATGTAAGCACACATGACAAGTTCATGAACTTAATTGTCATACACCAGCAAATAACAATGACGGCTCTGATGGCCATTCCAGAAAAAGAACCAAAATTGCTTTGACAGGTGTAGTCGGCACTGGCATCCACGCACACCTTCCCAAGGGGAGTCCTCTGAAAGTGACCATAGTGATATTCAGCAATGAGGTATGTAGTACTTTTCCTAGGATGGTTCACGAACCTCATGTCGGACCTCCCCGTTTCTCTTTTACCCTACTTTTATTAGCCCCCTTCTGATATCACCTCCCTCCTGAGACCTTGCCATCGCCCTGCTCTCATTAGTTCCCTCTTCACCATAGATACTCTGATTTTAAAACTTTGCATTCCCCCCTCTCATTCTCCATAACTTTGCTAGAAAAAGTCACCCAGCTGAGTTCCTCCATTACAAACAGATGTCACATAGGAACCACGTTCGTATGGTTCAGACTCATATGTCCAACTTCATATGTAAGCCCCTCCACCTCTATTTCCTGTAAGTACTTTAGATTATTTTGAATTATAAAATTTGAAGTGTCAGTACTAAATTAAGTGTTCAAAATTATGCTTCCCATATTCACCAATAACCTCTTTCTTTTGTACTCACTATCTTAATTATAAGCCACGCCACAAAACCTGAAGTAACATTTTTTTTTTTGGAGTCAGAGTCTCACTCTGACACCCAGGCTGGAGTGCCGTGGCACACTGCTCATGGCCACCACAGCCTCGACCTGCTGGGCTCAGGCCATCCTTCCACCTCAGCCTTCCAGGCAGCTAGAACCACAGGCATGCGCCACCACACCCGGCCAATTTTTTGATTTACTGTAGAGACAAGGTCTCGCTACGTCGCTCAGGCTGGTCTCGAGCCTCACGGGCTCAGCCATCCTCTCGTCTCGGCCTCCCAAAGTGCTGGGACTACAGGCTTGAGCCACCACGCCCAGCCTGGAAGTAACTTTTATAACCTCCTTTGCCTTAACCTCCCATATCAATCAATCAATAATTTCTGTCCATGTTGTTTAATTAGTATTTCCTGATTTTACCACTTGCTTCCATTATCACTTCTTGCCACACGCCAGCCATTCTCCACCAACTGCTGCTGGAAGGAACTTTGTTGAGCATCAGTCTCACCTTGCCAAGCTTCTATCCCTGCTGCAGCCTTGCAGTGCTTGCAAATTATCTCCAGAAAAAATGTTCAAACAGGTCTGATACCTACATATCTTCTGGATGCGGCCACCAATCTCTTCTGTATCACATTCTCCTCTCTGGCAACACCCCATGACTTCAGGACCCTGACACACGTACTCTGCAGTTCTGCCCATTCTCTTCCACGTGGAGAAAACACCTCTTGTTTTTCTCCTGCCATACCTTCCCTCCACATTCGTAGGAGTTATTTAGCCTCCCAAAACCATCTCTTCCAGGCTCTTCCTTGTTCAGCTTTCCTTTCTTTCTCCTCCACCTACCTCCACCTGTCTTAGCTGGTGCAGCCTCCTCTGGTCCATGATCCCACAGCACCCTGCGAATACTTCTCTTCTGACCCTTGCCACATCAAGCATCTTTCCTTCTAGACTCTCCACTCCTTGCAGGGCAGGAATGGGGAAGCCGCACCTTCCATATCTCTGTAACTCCAGCACCAGCTTGCGGGTTAGACCTATAAGGAGTGCTCTATAAATGCTTGTTGAACGGTTCAGTTGTACCCACCTTGACATTTGGAAATTTCTTTCCTTTTCTCTCTATCCCTACACAATAGCTATGCCTAACATTCCCATCCTCCTTGGTTTCTCAGGGTGTCTTATTCTTCTCTCACTCTTGGAGGTTGGCCTGGTCCCCGGTATAACTGGTGGAGGTATCGCCCTCTGTCTGTCTCTGTCCTTGAGAATGCAGTTGCTTTCTCCCGAATCCTCTTCCTGCTTCTCTGCCTCTGAGCAAGTCCCTCATGCCTCTTGTCCCAGCAGTTCTGCGCCATCGTACGTTCCGTCCCCAACGTCTTCAGCTTTTCTTCTCTCTGTGGTTTGCTCCTCTTCGCCAAGACATCATCTCTGAAGCCATCCTTCCCAATCTTGAAAAAGACCTCTCCCTCTTTCTCTTTTTAAAATCTTTTTAGTCCTATGAGTTTTTCCTTTCTTTCTTTCCTGGACACGTTTCTTGAAAAAGTAGTTTATACTCACCAGTTTCTGTTTTTTCGCCACTTTTTTCATTCTTAAGCCCTAAGAGCCTGGCTTATCTTTCAACCAATCTGTTGAAATAACTGTCTCCAAGGTGAAGAATCCTCAAAGCATTCTCATTTCTTAGCTTTCATTCCCTTGACGTCTCTGTGTCAGTCAGTGCTGAAACCCCATTCTTTTTTGGCTTGCTTGATGTGATACTATCCAAGCTTTCCTCTTAATGTTTTAGCTGCCTCTTCTTGGTCTCTTTGGCAATTTCTTTCGCTACCTCCTAAAAAAGTATGGGTATATATCTCTGAGTCTGTCTCGCCGCACCGTATGCTGCCTGTAATAGTGAGCTGCTCTTTGCAGTGTGCTGTGTCTCCCTGACTTGCCGTTAGCCACTCAAGGGTGAGGAATGACAACTCATATTTTTTTAGTGCACCGAGCTTAGCAATTAACTCAGAGCTGCTCAGGAAACATTTGTGACTTGATTGACTACAAGCGAGTGATAAATTACACTAAATAAATAGATTAGGAAACATTACCATACAAGAGAAAAAACAAACATGTGGAAACCAATGAGCCTATTCAAGCCCATAAGTAAAGAGAAGCAAATTGTTTCAGAAATATAGTCAATACCAAAAGAATTAAAGAAATTCTATGTTCTTGCACTTACTTTTTTATGATGATTGAAATGTTCCAAGGATAAAGGAAATCACAGAAAAGGACGAGGCATAAATTTTCTAGCAATTTTCAACATTTGCAATATTATATTCTAATATACAAACTACATATATGTGTGTGTATATATGCATATTTTTTTTTTTATAATACAGTTAGGATTCCAAGAATAGTTCACTTCCATTACCTAAATTTGAAAGTATTTTTAGACTTTATTTTATTGCATCTGAACCAAAATAAAAATGAGTCACATTATAAACAAATGTTCTACTATACCAGTCATAAGTTGTAAACAAAATTCCATACTTATACCAGAGCTTGTGGAAGAAGATGATTAACTCAGTGACCCTAAATGTAACCCCTCATTCACAAAGCCAAATTTATTCCCAGTGTGGTTCCGAGTGAAAAGACCTAAATTATCTAGCCTCAACATATCAGGCAAAGTACTATGCACCATCTGTGTAACTCTTTAGAGGATGTGGGGAATGCTCTTTATCTGGGAGTTGGGGGTTGCCACAAAACAGACCTGTGGACCACTGTAGAACAGACCTGAAACCTGAGATGTATCCTGGGACATGTGTGGCCAGATGCCTGAGGGACAGGTATCTAGCTGCACAACTCTTCCTTTGTCTGCTATTGAGAATTGAAAAATAAGGGACCTTGGAAGAAACATTTGTCTCAAATGCATTGTCAGAGTATGCCGCTGCTTAACCAAAACAGAAGTAATTTAGTTTAAATATTGTTCATTCTTTATATTGTGAAATGTGACAAGCCCCTTGTTCACACTAAACCTCATTTTTTTGTATTTGTAAAAATAAACAGTAGAATTAGTAACAAAGAATCTTTAAGCTATTATGACATTATAATTTTAGGAGTTAGATTTATTATCCCTCTTTTATTTTTATTTATTTACATATTGTTATACTTGTTTCAGTGATGATTTTTGTTGTTGTTGTTGTTATTTCTCTACTTACCTTTTATCCTCTCTTTCTTGCTGGAATGCTCATCATGCTGTTTACATGACTGCCTGACCATTTTGTGTTTTGGGGGAACCTGGGTTTCAACCAGGGCATCATGGGTATTCTAATAATTTGAGCATCTTAGAGTCCTTCAGTCTTGTGGGAAGATGTCTCCTGTGTATAGGACACTTTGGACAGGGGCTACCTTCTCCAATATTCATGAGCCCAGAGTGAACCAAATGCATGTGAATTTGATGGTTTGACGTAGATGACTAGGTAATGCACATGATTACCTAGACACTAAAAAAAGTGCAGCAATCCTATTAATTTTCTGGCCCTTTCCACATTGGCGAGTATAGTTGGTAGCTGGTGTGTCTAATCGCTGTGGACGTCAAGACCCAAGACACGAACAACTTTCTAAAGTTCTTCTCCCATCACACAAAAGTCTGGCCAGCTCCCTTTCAGTCTACCATAGCCTGTCTACAATCAGCTGCAGAGCCCGCTGTCACCTCAGAAATGCCGTTCCCAAGTTGCTGCCTGTGACCACATAATTCTCTAGAATTGTTGCCAAAAAAGCATGTACTACTTCCTGCCTTTTCTGTCTGACTCATCATTGACAGTGATGGGGAGAGGTTGATAAATACCTTGAAAGTTCTTGTCTCTGGTTTTAAAAACCTGAAAAAAAGAGAGCTCAGCTAAGTGAGAGAGGAGTGAAGGACTGAGCCAGCAGTCCAACGTAATGACTTTCATCTTCTACTAAAATACCCTATGACAATTCCATTATCGTGGAATTAAGGAAAGAAGCTTGGTATGGTGCCCACCTTAATAAGCACCTGAAATGTTATTGGCATGGGCTTTCAATGCTTATCTCCTCTGCCCCATTCCCACCTGCCCCCCCTCCCACCCCAGGCGGAATAGTCATATGACAGAACCTCACTTTGTCTCTCGTTCTCCTCCTGTAGACACAAAGGACATGAGTGAATTTGAGGCTGATGGCTTCTTCGCTCTGCACCACCGCCGGGGGGCCATCAAGCAGGCCAAAGTCCACCACGTCAAGTGCCACGAGTTCACCGCCACCTTCTTCCCACAGCCCACGTTTTGCTCTGTCTGCCACGAGTTTGTCTGGTACAGTAACTTGGCATTTCCCTCCAAGCTTCTGGTTCTGCGCTGTGTTGCCCCTTCTTGATGCGCTTCCACGTGGGGGAGTGTGCCGGAGTGAACACTGCCTGCGCGTTGCCAGTGACCTCGGCTGAACCGAGAAGGTTTAAAGGGTGTGAGTCCATAAAGATGTTCATAATGTGGCTTCCATAGGCAAGAAAACCAGGTCCACCAGGAAGAAGGCCCAGAGGACTTATAGCTTCTGCCCAAATGGATGGTTGCTGGGGGAAGCCGGGAGGAATAGAAGAGGAAGCCATCTTTATCATAAGCAGGCTTTCCAGTTTTTCTGTTTGTTTGTTTTTTGTTTTTTTTGAGTTGGCGTCTCACTCTGTCACCCAGACTGGAGTGCAGTGGCACACTTCCTGCCACCACAGCCTCGATCTGCTGGGCTCCGGCAATCCTTCCGCCTCAGCCTTCCGAGTAGTCGGAGTTACAGGCACGCGCTACCACGCCCGGCTAATTTTTGATATATATTGTAGAGACGAGGTCTCGCCAAGTTGCACCGGTGGGTCTCGAACCCGCGGGCTTAGGCAGTCCACTCACCTCGGCCTCCCAAAGTGCTGGGATTACAGGTTGAGCCACCGAGCCCGGCCGGCTTTCCAGTTTTATCATCAAAACTTCCCATCGAACAGCCCATTGTGCTGGTGCTACTGTCTGCAACAGGTGGCTCTTGGGCATTGTAGCTCTTGACTTAAATGTTTACGAGGCTCTTGGGTATCTTTTTTTTTTTTTTTTTGAGTTGGAGTCTCACTCCATGGTCCAGGCTGAAGTGCAGTGACACGCTCACGGCCACCCCAGCATTGACCTGCTGGGCTCCAGCAATCCTTTCTCCTCAGCCTTCCAAGGAGCCAGAACTATAGGTGTGCACTACCATGCCTGGCTGATTTTCGATTCAGTGTAGAGATGAAGTCTCACTGAGTTGCCCATGCTGGTCTCGAACTGTGGACTCAGGCTATCCACTCACCTCGGCCTCCCAAAGTGCTGGGATGACAGGCTGAGCCACCGAGCCCAGCCTAGTATCTTAACAGCCATCAAGCAGAGATCAGTTTAAGCCTCAGTAACCACTTAGTCAAGGCTATGACAGGGTGAAAACTTGAAATGACTCCTCTGTCTGGTTCTTGGCATCCTCGCCTATTAAGGGGTGCTCTTCCCTTTAGGCTGTGTAGAATCTGCTAATGCATACATAGCTCCTGCTTAACCAGGGCACCCCAAAATCAAATAGACTTGGTGAATTTTCATCAATCCACCTCCATCTGATTACCTGAACCTCCCTTACTGCTCATAATGAATGTCACTCAGGAACCAGTCTTGAGCGCAAGACTTTGTTGGTTGCAAATATTCTCTGACACTTGGAAAGAGAAAATAAAATGTGTCACACATGTCTTTGTTCATCTATCATGAGCTTAGTGAACTTTTCTTTTTCTGGAGAGATGAGCTCTCTCTACGTTGCTTGGACTGGTTTCAAACTCCTGGCCTCAAGGGGTCCTAACACATTAGCCTCCCTAAGTGCTGGAATTATAGGCATGAGCCGCGGTGCCTGGCCCCAAAGGTAATGAATTTTTAAGTCCAGCATGTGGAAATTTGCTGCTAGGACCGTGTGATGCATTTTCAGTCCTGCATCTTAATCTCTATATGTTTGCTTTGAAAGTACAGTAACGAAAAAGACATCAACAGCTTCTCGTTTATTTAACTCATTGTCACACTTTTAACAAAACAGCTTAAACTCAAAAATATAAGGATAATGCTTTTGGTCAATGATACACCAGCGCTACTTATCAGAAAACGCTTTGTGACCTTAGGAGGCTAACATCTCATTCACTCCTTCAATGTTTTTGATGCTGATATTGATGCAAACATCCAAATAAATCAGTATGTGCTTTATTCCAGGGGTCTGAACAAACAGGGTTACCAGTGCCGACGTAAGTAAGAAGGGTTTCTGTTGAATTGTCATCACTCTTTTTATTAAGTTGTTCCTTAACTTCTGCAAATCTTCAGCTGTGATTATTTCTTTTCAGAATGTAATGCAGCAATTCACAAGAAGTGTATCGATAAAGTTATAGCAAAGTGCACAGGATCTGCTATCAATAGCCGAGAAACCATGGTACGTATTGGTTCCTCTCTGCATCTGACATATTTTCTCCTGACATTAAATTTTAAAGCCCACTAGTTTTTGTTAATAATGCTGGAACTCGAGTCCACATGTTTATCAATGAGCATCAAGCTCCCTAAAACTCTTTCCTCTTAAATAGTGATTATTACCCTGTTACCAAAACTAGGGATACATAAGAAAAGCACGATAAGAATTTTTACATGCTGGGTCTACCTTTCCCAGAAAAATACAGTAGAAAGTGGCCAGAAAGCAGAATTTTGGTTAATTATATGAGAGCAACCCTTGTGCCATCTACAGCTAGAAGTGACAGCAAAAGAATAGATAAAAGCAAGTGACCATAAAATACAGAGACGTAGATTTACATATTTAGTAAGACTATGGTTACAGAGGTATGAATTTTATGCTGAGAGGCAGATATTTCCTTTGAAATGAACTTTGAGGTGTAGTCTGAAGACAAGTTAGATCTTACCTAATGGACAGGAACCTGATCTGGCAAGTTGGGTACCCTGACATGATGAAATACTTTGACTTCCTTCTCCTATTATTATTATTATTATTATTATTATTATTATTATTATTATTTTGAGTCAGAGTCTCACTCTTGTCACCCAGGCTGGAGTGCAGTGGCACGCTCATGGCCACTGCAGCCTCGACCTGCTGGGCTTAGGCAACCCTTCCACCTCAGCCTTCCATGTAGCTGGAACTACAGATGCACACCACCATGTCCAGCTGGTCTTTGTGATTTATTGTAGAGACGAGGCCTCACCAAGTTGCCCAGGCTGCTCTCAAACCCCCAGGCTCAGGCAATCCTCTCTCCTCAGCCTCCCAAAGTGCTGGGATTACAGGCTGAGCCACTGCACCTGACCTCTCCCATTATTTTCTTCTGCATTCCACAGATATTTATTGGGTATTTGATACATGAAAGATACTATACTATTGCGATGTACAGCACAGCACAGACACGGACCGGCCCTCGTGGGCTGTCCTGCAAAGCTGGAGAAATCGGTCATCAATAGATAGCTATGTATAGTTCAGTTGATATTATGTGCTATAGAGACATAAACAGTACAAAGATGGAGGATAACCAGGTGACCTACTTAGACCACTTGGTCAGGGATTTCCCCTAGGGAGGGAACACTTACCTGAGGTGGAGGGTGAAGGGAGCCAGTTTTGAGAACAGCAGGAAAAAGAAGGCGCCGCACCGGCTGAAAGACCATGCCAGAAAGAGCCCAGCGTGTCCTGGGAACTGAAATGAGACCCGTCTGGCTGGAGCTGCAAGGGCCAGAGAGTCCGGAACACAGAGCTGGAGAATGTGGCAAAACCTAGGTCATGGCGGGCTTCTCTGGACCCTGGAAAGGTGCCTGGATTTGAGGCGACGTGTCGTAGGAAGCCCGCTTGGTGAGGCTGTCGGGCAAATTGTGTGTTGAGGGTGACGGTCATACCCTAGAGGATGGAAAGGCTCCCACAGGGGAGGTGGCCAGTGGTGTGCACCAGCGTGGTCGCCACAGAGATGAAGCAAAGGAAGTGGATTCTCAGTGATTTGGATGTTAGACATGACTGGATTTGCCACAGGACTGGACGTAGAGAGTGAAAGGGAGGGAGAGAAGGATGCCCGAGGCTGAGCGATGTGATGGGCGACAGAACCGCCCAGGGTAGAGCAACCCAGAAGGCACGATCTGGGAGGATGAGTGGGGCTTTCCACCTTGGACGCATCCGGCTGAGGTGCCTGTGGACATCCAGGTGCAGACATCACACAGACAATATTACGTGAGCTTGGAAGGGACATGGGGACAAGGGACCAACTCTGTAAACTTGAGAGTGACTGACATATAGGTGGGATTTAAAGTTGCCAAAGAGAGTCCCCTAGAGAGAGAGTAGAGAGAGAAGGTGGTTCAGGACTGACTGCACCTTGTTTTTGAGACAGAAGAGAATGAATGGGCTTTGTTTCTGACTGCTAAGCTCATAGATTTCCAGCTCCATAGCTGTGTGATCTAGGCAAGTTTCTTGGCCTCTCTGTGCTTAATCTCTTTATCGGTCAGATGAGGAGGAAAGTCACAGAAGCTACTTCAAGTAGGGTATTTGAGGATTCCATGAGAGGTCACATATGTAACTGATGATGCCTGTGACGTGTTGGTTCGCTGCACCTGGCAGGAACTGTCACCCTGCCTTTTGCCACCTCGGTTTATGAATAATAGGTGTGAAAATGCTTCTTACATGAGGCTCTCATATTTGCCAACCTGTAGAAACATTTCCTCTAGAGGAAGCTTTTCTTTTTGGGGGGCATCTTCCAAAGGTTAAAGCACTAGTTCTGGACTAAAAGATAAAAGGAAATATTTATATTAAAATAGGAAGGGAAGTTTTGTTTATTTAAATGGGAGCACCGTTGCCTTGGCGCTCATTTATTTCATTTTCTTTCTTTCTTTTTTTTTTTTAAATGAGTTGGAGTCTCACTCTGTTGCCCAGGCTGGAGTGCAGTGGCTCACTCACGGCCACTGCAGCCTCGATCTGCTGGGCTCTGGCAATCCTTCCGCCTCAGTCTTCCAAGTAGCTGGAACTCCAGGCACGCACCACCACACAAGGCTAGTTTTTATGATTTATTGTAGAGACGCGGTCTCACCAAGTTGCCCAGGCTGGTCTCAAACCCCCGGACTCAGGCAATTCTCTCGCCACAGCCTCCCAAAGTGCTGGAATTACAGGCTGAGCCACCGCACCCGGTCCATTTTCTTTTTTTGAGATAGGGTCTTTTTTTTTTTTTTTTTTTTTTTTAGTTGTAGTCTCACTCTGTCGCCCAGACTGGAGTGCAGTGGCCGCTCCTGGCCACCGTAGCCTCGACCTGCTGGGCTCCGGCGATCCTTCTGCCTCAGCCTTCCAAGTAGCTGGAACTACAGGCGCGCGCTACCACACCTGGCTCATTTTTTTTTATTTATTGTAGAGATGAGGTCTCACCAAGTTGCCCAGGCGGGTCTCAAACCCGCGGGCTCAGGCAATCCACTCACCTCAGCCTCCCAAAGGTGCGGGATTACAGGCTGAGCCACCGGGTCTTGCTCTGTCACCCAGAGTGCAGTGGTGTGATCGTGGCTCATGGCAGTCTCGAACTCCTGGACTCAAGTGATCCTCCAGCCTCAACCTCCAAGTAGCTGGGACTACAGGCAGGCACCACCATACCCAGCTAATTTTTTTTTTCTTTTTTTAGATGTGAGGTCTCAATATGTTGTCCAGGCTGGTCTCAAACTCCTAGCCTCAACCAGTGCTCCTGCCTTGGCCTTCCAAAGTGCTGGGATTCCAGGTGTGAGCCACCATGCCTGGCCCTTAGTTCTCATTTAAATGAGTAACCCTCACGCCTCCTTTCTGAGCTTCCTCTGTCTGTGCAGATGCCTCGGACTTCTGCCGTCTGCTGGGTGCTCTCCCCCATGCAGATGGCAGGTTCGCCCTGCCTAGTGTTGCTCAGGGCTGTCTGACTTGACACATGAAAATGATGGTTTGAAGTGTACATGCTAGATATCCAGCTCCATAGCTGTGTGACCTAGGCAAGTTTCTTGCCCTCTCTGTGCTTAATCTCTTTATCTGTCCAAAGAGGAGGATAGTCACAGAAGTTACTTCAAGTGGGGTATTTGAGGATTCCATGAGAGGTCACACATGTAACACATGGTGCAGATGACGGAGTCTTCCTTCCGGTCCCTGCTAGTGAGGCGAAGAGACCTGCGAGGACTTGGAAAGTGGGGGCCCTGGGGCCACGTGCGGGGTCTCACCTCCCACCTCTCTCTCAGTTCCACAAGGAGAGATTCAAAATCGACATGCCGCACCGATTCAAGGTCTACAATTACAAGAGCCCCACCTTCTGTGAGCACTGCGGGACCCTCCTCTGGGGACTGGCGAGGCAAGGGCTCAAGTGTGACGGTGAGTCCAGTGAGGGGGGGCGTGGCCCTGCCGAGAGCCCCCCCGGGGCCCGGGGCGGCCTCCTGGGGGGCGGGAGGGAAGACACGGAGGGAGGACGCAGAGGGACGGCGCCCACACCTGGCCCGGAGGAGCCTGGGGTCGCGAATGCCGAGTCCACTCCTAGCCTCTCCTTCCACCCCACCACACCCTCATCCTCGCAACCCAGAAAAGTCCACAACGGTTCAGGTTCAAGGTCAAACCTCCTGGCCTGTCGTCTGCTGTCGTACCATGACCCTGGGGAGCAAGGAGGCGGTATTTCCCCTCTGATGGGTCCCTCTGCCAAGACCCCGTTCTGACCCAGCCTGCCATTTCCTCGGTGGGCTCTGGGCTGCCCCTTCCTGGTTCTGGCAGGTGTGGCTGCATAATGCCCCAGCCCCTCTCCCATCTACCAGCTCGTGAGACTCCTATCACCTCATCAAAGAGCAAGCCCTACACGCCCAGTCCGCCGTCACTTGGTCCTGCACAGAGAAATCCTGTAACACTTAGCTTGAGGGTCTGTCCCTAAACCGTCGCTGTGAACTCCAAGTGCCGGCAAGAGGCCAGCCCTACTCTGATGGCTGTTCTCTGTGTCCTGATCTTTCCCCAAATGCTGGGGTCACGGCAAAGCTCGAACCTGCCGTTCTCTACCGATGGAGTTACTCAGACCCGCCCAGAAAAAGGGACACAGGAGAAAAGAACACAGGACAGGGCTTCTGGCTCTAAAACTCCTTTAGAGACTGAGATGATGTCACACCAGGATTGGGGAACAGGAAGGGACAATCTTGACACGCGATAAGGCACTCCTCTGCCTTCGGGTTGGGGACGAGGGTGAGGACGGGGCCCGGATCACTCAGAGTCTGCAACACTGGCCTGTTTTAAGATGAGGATGAACCACTAAGCGGATAAGCCACTTGGTTTTTTTCTTGGCGGCCCTATTTCAATTTCTGCCAATGGCTAGTCGTTGTCTTCTAAGAGACAGAGGTAGCTGACGGAAGGTATAAAGCATCTTCCCTGCCCTTGTCCCGGGCCGTTCACGTGGCTGGTAGAGCCAGAAGCGGCATCTTAGCCGAGGCAGGTTTTCCAATCATTTCCCAAAGCAGGAAGCCCAGGGGGTCCGCATAAGCCTTGAGAATCCATTCCCTCCTGGCCCTCCAAGCCCACACTCCTCCCAACACACCTGCTCAAGAAGGCACGGAGAGGCAGGATGTTCAGATTTCACCGGCAAAAACGGAACATCCCAGATTCTCAGGGTGCCACCAGAAACAGGAACCATCAGACTCTCGCCGGCGGGGCCTCCTGGGATGGGTCGGGTCGGGCCTCACGTCCAGGGGCCGAGTGTCCACGCGTGAGGCGGAGCCGACCCCACAGAGCCACGAGCCAGCTCAGAACTCCCGAGGGTTCTGGGCATTGTTCCCCGGCGCCCATGGCCGCTCCGTTGTTCTTTCTCTCCAACGTTCTCCTCCCTTTCCGTTCCCTCCCGCTGTCTCCCTCCCACCACCTTCACTTGGAGCAGCCCCCCTTCTCCACTGCCCCTTCTTTTCCCTTCCCCTCCTCCCCTTCCCCTCACGCCTTCCACACTTGCCTCCAAGCCCCCAGCCCCCTCGCTCCAGCTCCACCCACTCCCATGCCAATCGTTCTCACCCCTGGGCTCTCCGTTCGCCTCTCTCTGTCGTCTCGCTTCCTCACGGCCGGCTCCTTGAGTGGAGGCCCCGGTGGCCTCTCCCCTGTCTGTCTTCTGTCTCTCCCAGGACAATTTCCATGAAAATAGTCGTCAAAGGGGGCCCCCAAAGGTCAAGGAACCGCCGGATAGGTTAGTAACAAACTCACGGCCTTACAGCGGGGACAGTGGCCTTTCTTCCCGGCCTCCCACATGGAAGACGAGCACAGGTCTGGCTGCCATTTCAGGGGCCATGTGAAGCCCCAACCCTGCTGTGCTCAGTCCTCTCTGACAGCCTCACGTTGAGGAGCACTGCGTAGGAAAGCGAAGCTGGGGCCACCCAGGCTACATCCTAAGTCCCACCCCACACGTTGGAGTTGGGGCACCATCCAAAACCATCTTGAACGTGTGCATAAAAGGTTTCACTTCCAATGAACATTTGTGGCTATGGCCATGCATACGAGGTCCGACGATTAAGCTCGCAAACTCATCCTAGAAAAAGTGTTCCATGCCTCATTGCTGACTATCACGGCAGTCACCTTCGAAGCCCTCCCCTGGGGAAGCTCTGCACAGATGACAGCACCTGTCTCCCCATCAAGGCAATTTGGGAACGCTTTTTCTGCAATGGCCGTCAGAGCCGGCATCGTGCTACCCCTGATGTCCTGAATATCATCCAATGTCTTCTTTTCCCTTTTTCCTTTACCTTTGGGTAAAGAAAAAAGCCATTGTGGGGGGCCGCATCAGGTGAGTGGGGAGGGTGTTCAAACACAGTTGTTTTGTGCAGTGCTGCCAGCATAAACGCATGGTGGTGAGTTCATGAACTTAACCGTCAGACCTCAACAAAAAAACGACCACAGCTCTGATGGCCGTTCCAGAAAAAGAGTTCCCGAGTTGCTTTGATGGGTGGACTAGACACCTGACCTCAGTGCAGACCTTCCCAAGGGGAGGACTTCAAAGGTGACCATAGAGACATTCAGCAGTGAGGTCCGAAGCACTTATTCTAGGATGGTTCCCCAACCTAATTGTCAAACCTCATAAATACTAGGCCTCGTTACCATTGATAGTTGTTTACATAGAAAATGCTGCTTTATTTTGTGTCATTATGGATCATCTGAGGAAGAGTGAGATAGTGAAAACTACTGACTCGGGCTGCCAACAGCTTAACTAAATATTTGAGTATCCACGTCAATGCGATAAATGATGGAGATGAAAGGAAAGTTGTGTTTGTTGAGCACCTACTCAGTGCCAGTCACTGTGCTAAGCTCTTTGCACTCAAATGTGCTAATAAGCAGAGAAGATGGAAGGCTGCATGGCTATATGGTGCCTACTACCAATTCCTGCTTCTAGACTCTTGTAGAAGCAAGTAGTATTTGAGGTTAGATTTCTATCAGCTGGAGTTTGGAAATCTTATATATATATCATATATATTTTTTTGAGCTGGAGGCTCACTCTGTTGCCTAGCTGGAGTGCAATCACACGATCACAGCTACCATAGCCTCAACCTGCTGGACTCAGGTGATCCTTCCGCCTCAGTCTTCCAAGTAACTTGGATTTGGGGTGTGTGCCACCATGCCCAGTTAATTTTTGCATTTAGTGTAAAGACAAGGTCTCCCCAGGTTGCCCAGGCTGGTTTCGAACCCCTGGGCTCAGGCAATCCTCCCACCTCTGCCTCCCAAAGTGCTATAATCACAGGCGTGAGCCAGCATGCCCGGCTTATATTTTTATTTTTATAGTGATGTTTTAGAAGCAAAATTTGAATCTTCCAAAATGAATGCCACGATGCCGTAATAGTGTCCTTGAGAGACAGACGTACAAGTACTCAACCCCAGCCCCAACCCGCGAAAGATCCCTCGGTCACAGGAAGAGGAGGTTCATTTTTTATGGTGCTGTTTTCAGGGCTTGTGAATCAGAAGACTCACCCAGAATCGCAGGATCTGGGAACTAGAAACCTATTCATTCAGTGCCGGGGACCCCTCGCCTGGAACCCAAGAGGATCACAACTCACCCAGGGTCCCACTGTGTCCTGGCTGTGCTGGCTATGGTCAGCACGTGGCTCCTCTCCTGACCAGTGCTCAAGACACTCCTCTTTCTTTTTTTCTTTTTTTTTTAGCAAAATCTAGAATGACATTGCACGTGGCTGACAAAGATGAAAGAAAACTTTGACTCCTTTTTTTGGAGCTACCTTCTGTAACTAAGTCATAGATGTGAGTTTAAGTCATTAACTCATGTGTCTTTATGACCTTGAAGTCACTTTATCAGACTCTCATTTAGTAACTGTCCGGCCCCTCTACACGTCCTAGAATCAGGCGAGATTCGGGGAGCTGTGTATTCAGGGGCCTGGGGGTAACGTGGGTAACGGTCTCCAGCACCCACTTGTGGGTGTCTCCACCCAAGTCCACACTGAGAAAGCCTGCAGCCTCTGCACCACATGTAGAGAGGTGTCGTTTTTCTGAAAGCTGGGGTCCCTGGGTCCGAGTCCTTGAAGGCATCTGCCACAACCTCCCCTGGCATTGCAAGCCAGCGCTGGATGTCCCTTTCTCCTGGATCCACAAAAGCTTGCCCTTCTGTTCCAAAGCTCATGACAGGCGAGAGGGCCCTTCCCTCCGGTGGGATCTCCCGTCCCTGCTGCCTGTCAGACACTTGTCTGGGTCCCTCCTCCTCAGAACACCTGGCAAGCACCTTGGTTTCCTTTTCCGACCCACTCAAATCCCAACACAAAGAACAGCGCAGCCGGGCTTCCCATAGGAGGTGTCACAGCAAGGGGTGAGGGCAGGAAAACCAGGGAAGGGAAACCCCTTAGGGAGGAAAAGAAACCCACAATAATATTTCAATCTCCGTGCCTGCCACAATCAGAAAATGCCAGCAGCATTCTGGAGAGGCTCGTTGGCCGGTTTGCTTGTAACTGGGTCTTGGTTGCTTCGAGGTCCTCAAGCCTCAGTGCCTGCCTCTGTCAAACCGTTGCCACCGGCCTTCCTTCACCTGGGCTGCACGCCTGGCCCCGAGGAGTGTGGCATGGTGTCTTCTGAGTAGCTCTTAGGAGGGCATCTGTTGACCAAAGCCGAGATGCTCGTGGAACTTAGAAAGATGATGTCCTAAGGAGCGGCTCAAAGAGCGAAGGCTGTGCAGGGGCGGGAGAGGCGAAAAGAGGCACCTTGGCTCGGTCAAGTCCTGTCACCTTGCTTGGGGGAGGTCAGATGGGTGTGGCTGCCTCTGGGCCTTTCTTACCTATGAGACAGTCCTAGAGCCTCCCGAGGGAGGGAGGCAAAGGGGTCAAAGGGCCTCAAGCCTTCCCTGCTCCCACCGTCTTCTGTTATTCTTTGCGCCTAAGGAAGGATTTCACATTGGTAGCCTCAAACGAAAATTGTACAGGCACAGGGGCTCATGCCTGTAATCCTAACACTTTGGGAGGCCGAGGCAGGAGGATCACTTAAGGCCAGAAGTTCGAGACCAGCCTGGGAAACAAAGCAAGACTCTGTCTCTACAAAATATGCATATATATATATATATATATATAAATTTTTTATTTTTTTTTGACTTGGAGTCTCACTCTGTTACCCAGACTGGAGTGCCGTGGCCTCTCCCGGCCACTGCAGCCTCGACCTGCTGGGCTCCGGTGATCCTTCTGCCTCAACCTTCTGAGTAACTAGAACTACAGGCGCGTGCTACCATGCCCAGCTGATTTTTTGGTTTATTGTAGAGATGAGGTCTCGCCCAGTTGCCCGGGCAGGTCTCGAACCCGCGGGCTCCCAAAACGCTGGGATTACAGGCTGAGTTGCCGAGCCCAGCCAAAAATATTTTTTAATTCAATACATGAAATGTCTACATTGTGTGCAAGTGACCGGAAGTCCCACTCATCTGCTCAGTTCTGTTCCCAGGGGACCCAGCTAGTCTGGTGCTTTCCACCTCTCAGAGCTCCGAGCTGTCCTCCCGGGGACCCCATTCCTGGCCAGTGGCCAAGTCTCTTAGTTTATCACCTCCAGTTCTCCTTAAGGCAAGCAGGTGGTCTCCGGGCTACCTTCTCCTACTCCGACTCCTCAGCGCGCGCACACACACACACACACACACACACACACACACACACACACACACACACACACACCCTCCACCGCCATTACCCTCATTTCCCTTCCATGGCAAAGGCTTCGTCCTGGAGGACAGAGAACCCCTCTCATTCCAGAGGGGAAAGGGGTTGCTCGGGCCCAGTCTAGAGCAGGAGGGAACCCCTCCATTCCAGCCTGCGCTGCACCCCAGGGAGAGCCAGCCTCGGCTGCCAGCAGGCTCCTCCCCACCCACAGGGCTCTGTCCTCCCTCCAGAGAGTCACTTGCCAGCCCCAGGGGCTTCTTCCTCTCCTGCTCACCACGCCCCATCCTTCCTTTCAGCATGTGGCATGAACGTACACCACCGATGCCAGACGAAGGTGGCCAACCTTTGTGGCATAAACCAGAAGCTGATGGCTGAAGCACTGGCAATGATTGAGAGCACCCAGCAGGTGGGCCTGTGTGCGAGGAGAGGCCTGCGTCTCCACCCAGCGAGGCCACTAGGTCCTCTTATCCTTGAACTGTCACGCCCCACAGGGGATGTGGAGTGTGTCTGAGCACATGTCTTGTCCCTGACGTCCATCTTTGCACCCTTTCCCCCGCTGAGATGTTTACGTGTACTGTGCGAATCTTAAGCTCTTCATGGATTATGCAGGGCAGAAAGATTTACATTCACTAAAACCATGGAGTGGTCATTGCCAGCTTTTATGGTCCAACAATTAAGTTCATGAACCATCGTAGAAAAAGTGCTCCAGGCCAGGTGTGGTGGCTCAAGCCTGTCATCCCAGCACTTTGGGAGGCTGAGGTGGGAGGATTGCCTAAGCTCAGGGGTTCGAGACCAGCCTGGGCAACTTGGCAAGACCTCGTCGCTACAATAAATCAAAAAATTAGCTGGGCATGGTAGTGTGTGCCTGTGGTTCCAGCTACTTGGGAGGCTGAGGCAGAGGGATCATCTGAGCCCCTCAGGTCAAGGCTGCGGTGGCCGTGGGCATGCCACTGCACTCCAGCCTGGGCAACAGAGTGAGACTCTGACTCAAAAATAAAAAGGAAAAGAAAAAATGCTCCATACCTCATTGCTGAATATCACAACGGTCACCTTTGAAGTCCTCCCCTTGGGAGGCCATGCACCAAAGCCAGCGCCATAGGCCACCCATCAAGGCAATTTTGGACCCCTCTTTCTGGAATGGCCATCAGAGCCATCGTCATTTTAACCTTGATGTCCTGAATGTCATCAAAGGTCTTCCTTTCCATAGTTCCCTTATCTTCGGGTAAAGAAAGTCATTGGGGGTCAAGTCAGGTGAGTAGGGAGGGAGTTCCAATACAGTTGTCTGTACAGTGCTGCCAACGTAAGCACACGGTGGCAAGTGTGCAAACTTCATTGTCAGACCTCAACAAAAAACAACAATGGCTCTGATGGTCATTCCAGAAAAAGAATTGCAAAACTGCTTTGACAGGTGGACTAGGTACTGGCATAGCATCCCACGGGGAGTGCTTTGAAAGTGACCGTCGTGATATTCAGCAATGGTTCTAGGGGTGGTTCACGAAGCTAATTGTTGGACCTCATATTTTCGGGCTATGTAATAGCCTGGGGGAAAGATTTGTTTTCTAGAATCATCTCCAGAATGCCCTAAGAACGCCGAGTCCAGGGCAACTTTTGCTTTGCCATTTGCTACCTTGGCATGGGCTGAATTCCCATATCCAAGAACAAACCCTCTGGGAGACATGGCGTCCCTCGTGTCAGCCATTTCCCCGTCCGTGGGCTGTCTGTTCTTGCCTGTGGCGGGATGAAGCGTACAGCATGGGAGAATCCCGTCAGTCCAGGAAATGTGAAGGGGGTGAGTCAGTTCTGCTGATGCACAAAACAGGACGGACTCCCAGAATATGGGATCAGAATGTCGAGGGAAAAGAAGGCGCTGTGGTCACCGAGGACTCTTGAGTGGCTTCTGTCCCCTCGGTGGTAGCCGGGTGGGTAGCCTGACTTTCTGTTTGTCACCAGGCGCGCTGCTTAAGAGATACTGAACAGATCTTCAGAGAAGGTCCCGTTGAAATTGGACTCCCATGCCCCATCAGAAGTGAAGCAAAGCTGCCATACTTACCGACATCAGGAAAAAGAGGTAGCTGTCCTGGTCCAAAGTCAAACCAACGTCAGTAATTCACCTCGATTCACCTTAACCTGTGTCCTGTGGACTGAAGTTCTTAGCTCACCCGGTCAGCTAGGCGATCCTTTTCTATTTCAGGATTACAGACTTAGCCACCCACTTAGAGGCACCTACTACTTCTTAGAAGAGAAATCAATATGGGGGGGGCAAAAAACCTGGAATTTATTTGTAAAAAACTTGTGTATTTGTTCTTACAGACCCCTTCAAAGTCCTCTCTGTTTAATGCAATACACCTATGGAGACACTTTTCCCACGACTCAGAACCGTTTTTGAACTTGTCCGTTTTGACGCCTTTTAGCGCTTCTGCCTTTTTCTGCTTCACCTCTTCCACATCAGCCAAATGTTTCCCTTTGAGGACTTTTTTCATCCAGGGAAACAAAAGAGTCACTAGGGGCAACATCAGATGAATAGGGAGGGTTGGACACGGGGGTCATGTCGTTCTTGGTCAAAAACTACTGAACTCTCAGCGTGGTCTGGGCAGGTGTGTTGTCATGGTGGAAGAATTCGTCGCCTGTTTGTCACAAATTGGGTCGTTTTCTTCCGCAAATTTTGATGCAACCTTCTCAAAACTTCCAGATAAAAACTTTGGATAGCCAGGCTGGGTGGCTCAGCCTGTAATCCCGCGCCTTTGGGAGGCTGAGGTGAGTGGATTGCCTGAGCCCGCGGGTTCGAGACCCGCCTGGG